AACTATCCCTGTCTTCTCCTACACCCCACCCACACATTGGAAGTTAGTCCTTTTGTAAATGAACCTTCCTCACATTGCCCTAATCTGAGTGTGTCATCTGTTTCCTATTGAGGCCCTGACTGATAAAACCTGGAAGCCCTATTGGAATTTGCTGTAAGCACAAGGAACGGAAAACAATATAGGCAGGGGGAACAGCATGAGGAATGGCAAAGAGGCACGGAAATGTGATTTTGTTTGTTTAATTTTCTTTATTGGTTGAAGGTTAAATTGCTAAATCCCATATTCAGGTCTCAGCCTTAATCTTCCTAGATTTATCAACAGGATTTTACTAGTTAATCACTCTCTTCATCCTGGAACAAATTCGTCACTTGGCCTCCAAGACATCACATTGTTTTGGGTTTTTTGGTCCTTCTTCTGGCTACCCTTTTTCAGTGTCTTCTTCTGGCTCCCTTGTGTCTTCATCTCCTTGGTGCTGAATGTTGGAGTTCCAAGGGTTGTCCTTGATTCTCCTTTCTCTCTATTACAACTCACCATTATCATCCAGTACCATGGCTTTAAATACTCGGTGTGCTGTTCATTCCCAAATTTATGTATGTATGTATTTTTGAGACAGAGTCTCGCTTTCTGTCACCCAGGCTGGAGTGCAATGGCGCAAACTCGGCTGACTGCAACCTCCACCTCCTGGGCTTAGGCAATTCTCCTGCCTCAGCCCCACAAGTAGCTGGGATTATAGGTGCCCACCACTGTGTCCAGCTAATTTTTGTATTTTTAATAAAGACATGGTTTCGCCATGTTGGCCAGGCTGGTCTCAAACTCCTGACCTCAGATGATCCACCTGCCTCAGCCTCCCAAAGTGCTGGGATTACAGGTGTGAGCCACTGTGCCCAACCCACTCCTAAATTTATATCTTGCCTTAGATCTCTTCCAATTCCTGACTCATATATCCAATTGAACTAGAGATAGGAATGGTGTCTGAAACCAGCTCCTAGAGTCAATTGTTATGTTTCCAGGACTTTTGCTAGCCTCTTGCTAACCACAGCCATTCCTAAAAATTAAATTACATTTTAAAAATTAAAGACATTATGTTAAAAAGAAAGATGATATTCAAAACTTATCACTTACTAATTGTTTTACTCTATTTTCTGTGTTCTCAAGTATATTGATGTCTATTTTATCTGTATTGTGGAAATACTACATAATGGTGTGCCATTCTCCCAGCTCTTCCTAACTCCATGTTCAGTAACATCGTGTTGGAAGGTCAAAATCAACCAGAGTAGGAGTATTACGCCACACATTAGCAAATGTTACCTATTAGGGGTTGATTTATTGTTTTGTTTATTGCCTAAATTTAAGAAAGTAATGGAAAAATGTTAATAATACAGACTAAATTGACAGTATATTGTGTCTATTGCTATTACTTTGTGAATAACACAAAAATTAGTGTAAATATTCTTCCCATATTGGAAACTACTCTCAGATTCCACAAAGAAGGCACTCGTGTTATTGTCTGTGTTCTTGTTCTGGCACATATCTCTATTGTTCCACTTTCATCTTACTATTAATGAGAAATGAAAATAACAACCAACATTAATCTTGGAATTATACATGTTCAGCAATTGCAATCATTAGTTGGCTATAGATATAAGAGTTTGGCAGACATCAATTAAAACATTATGTGGGAATGAACTGGCCAATGGAATTTACAAAAAGTACTACATATTTTATTATTTGTGAATTGTGTGCTATGCGTCATTTATATCCGTACACCTTATGATAAACTTATTACACACACACACCTTTTTCTCCTGGAAAGCCAATTTGTGAATGTTTCCCACTGCTAATAGGCAACTCGAATTTAACATGTCCAAACCGAGCTCTTGATTTTCCATCCCAAACCAGTAACCCCCTATAAGCATCCTCATCCCAATTAATGGCAACTCCACCCTTCCAGTTACTCTGACCCAAAACCTTAAAGTCATCTGTGACTCTTGTCTTTCCCTCATTCCCTATATTTCACCTGTCAGGAAATACTTTTGCCTCTACTTTCTTTATTTTTTTAATTATTTGTTTATATTTATTTATTTGAGATAGGGTCTTACTCTGTTGCCCAGGTTGGAGTGTAGTGGCGTGCTCTTGGCTCACTGCAACCTCTGCCTCCCAGGTTCAAGCAATTCTCCTGCCTCACTCTCTTGAGTAGCTGGGATTACAGACGCGTGCCATCATGACCAACTAATTTTTCTATTTTTAGTAGAGATGGGGTTTCACCAAGTTGGCCAGGCTGGTCTCAAACTCCTGACCTCAGGTGATCTGCCCGCCTTGGCCTCCCAAAGTGCTGGGATTACAGGCCAGCCACCACACCCAGCCTTATTTTTATTTATTTATTTATTTATTGAGACAGAGTCTTGCTCTGTTGTCAGGCTGGGGTGCAGTGGCACGATCTCGGCTCACTGCAACCTCCGACTCCCAGGTTCAAGCGATTCTACTGCCTCTGCTTCCTGAGTAGCTGGGATTACAGGCACGCACCACCATGCCCAGCTAATTTTTGTATATTTAGTAGAGATGGGTTTCACCATGTTGGCTAGGCTGGTCTTGAACTCCCGACCTTGTGATCCACCTGCCTCGGCCTCCCAAAGTGCTGGGATTACAGGCGTGAGCCACTGCGCCCAGCCATTTTTAAATTTTTTTAAGAGACAGTTCTTGTTATGTTGCTGAAGCTGGTCTTGAACTCTTGGCCTCAAGCAATCCTCCTGCCTTGGCTTTCCAAAGCACTGGGATTTCAGGTGTGAGCCACCAGGCCCAGTTGAAAGAGATTTTTCTACAACATAAGACTCACTGTGATACTTCCCTGCTAAAAAGAACCTTTATTTCTTGGTTTAAAGACCACAGTCTTTACTATGGCCTGCTAGGCTCTGTGTGATCTCACTCCTCTCTGCCTCTCCACCTTCCCCTCTCATCCTTTGTGCTCTCTGTTCCAACCAAACAAGCCTTCTTTGTTACTCAGTGCACCATGTTCCTCTCCCCTTCAGAATCTTTGCACTTGTACTTTGCTTCATCCTGGCCAATTTCTACTCATTCTTCAGAGCTCCCTTTTTCTGGAAAGCCCTTCTTGGCCCTCCAGGCTAGGTTAGGTGGTACTAAACCACAATAGTAATTTTAGAGCTATTTATAAATTATTTAATTCCTGTGTCTCCCTGGATAGGGACTATGCCCGTTCTGTTCATCTCTGCATTAAGAGACACCCAAAGCAAAACTTGGCATAGAACAGGTGGTCAAGAAGTGTTTGTTGAATGACCACAAGAGTGCTTAGCCCTTACCACGTTACATGAAATCTGCAGTTTACCTAGTTTCTCTCACATCAGCCTGTGAGATTCTGGAAAACTAGTACAGGAGCCAGCCCCATTCTTGACACTTCACAGGCTCAGCAGGGAGTTCTGAGCAGGGGAGACATTGTGATGTGCTGCCCAGATGCCCCAACACTGAGGACTTAGGACAGGCACCAGCCATGAGTGCTGTCAACACAAAGAATGTCAGCTTCTCCATAGACAGGGCCATCTTGGCCCTTGTCACACCCCTTGCAGGTAGCCCCACATCCAAAGACTGGTAAAGGCAGGGTATAAAGACCTGACCATTGGCCAGGTGGTGTCTCACGCCTGTAATCCCAGCACTTTGGGAAGCCAAGGGGGGCGGATCACAAGGTCAGGAGATCGAGACCATCCTGGCCAAAATGGTAAAACCCCATCTCTACTAAAAATACAAAAATTAGCCCGCCTTGGTGGTGCGCGCCTATAATCCCAGCTACTCAGGAGGCCGAGGCAGGAGAATCACTTGAACCAGGGGAGGTGGAGATTGCAGCAAGCCGAGATTGCGCCACTGCACTCCAGCCCGGCGACAGAGCAAGACTCCGTCTCAGAAAGAACCACAGCCGGGCGTGGTGGCTCACGCCTGTAATCCCAGAACTTTGAAAGGCCAAGGCGGGAGAATCACGAGGTCAAGAGATCGAGACCATCCTGGCCAACATAGTGAAACCGCGTGTCCACTAAAATACAAAAATTAGCTGGACGTGGTGGCGCGCACCTGTAGTCCCAGCTACTCGGAAGGCTGAGGCAGGAGAATTGCTTGAACCCGGGAGGCTGATGTTGCAGTGAGCCGAGATCACACCACTGCACTCCAGCCTGGCGCCTGGTAACAGAGCAAGGCTCTGTTTAAAAACAAACAATAACAACAACAAAAACGAAAACACGAAAAAACAAAAACAAACAAAAAAGACTTGACCATCTTAGCTCAACTGATGGACCACTCTAGCTCCAGAGTCCTTGTAGGGTCAGCTAAGACTGCCTTCAGGCCTGCATGGAGCTCACTACTTTCGCCTTTTGCCACTCCTGTTCCCTCCCTTCCTTCCCATGCGTATTCCCACATGTATTGCCCCCTCATCAACATCCTACACTCCAATCTCCATCTCAGAATCTGCTTCCTGGGGACCTAAACTGCAACAGGCCCTCAGTCTCTCTTCTTCTCTCAGCCATCACTTTCAGGGAATATTCATTTGTTCACCTGAAGTTTGGAGGCACCATTCAACTGTTAAAGTGTTTCGTATTCGTTTTTCTATTACTTCTATCCTATACTGAAGAGGTGGATCAGGAAGGGAGATTAGTCCCACTAAACATGCGGAGAAACTGAGGCCGGAGTTGGGGCGTGACCAGTCCAGCCTAAGGCCGCCGCACGAATGAGAAGCTGAGCTCTCAGACTTTTGTCTCCCTGTTCGTGCCAAGTCTCTGCATCCTGGGACAAGAGGGAGGCTCACTGAAACGAACTCTGGTCTCAGGGGACAGAATCCTGAAACCCTGGCTCTGAGGTCCGGTACAGGAGGGCGCTGCCCCAGGACAGACGGGGAAACTGAGGCCCAGAGCCAGTCATCCACCGCCTGCGGAGAACGAGAAGGGGGCGCGTCCTGTCTCGCGGGCCGAGCAGCGCCGTTGCCGCCTCCTCCCACCCCCCGCGCCGGGCCCGCCCGCCCCGTCTCAGCCCTCGCGACGCCGCCACCCCGGGAGCGAGCCATGGTGGCGGTGGCGGCGGCGGCGGCGGCGTGGCTGCTCCTGTGGGCCGCGGCCTGCGCGCAGCGGGAGCAGGACTTCTACGGCTTCAAGGCGGTCAACATCCGGGGCAAACTGGTGTCGCTGGAGAAGTACCGCGGCTCGGTGAGTGCGCGGGGTCTGGTGGCGCCGCGCGGCCCGGCCTCACCCTGGTGGGGCCTGCTGGGGGCGCCCTACAGCCCGGACCCCTGAGCGGGGTGGCTCCGAGGGCGCCCCGGCCGCGCGGCCGCCAGACCCCGGCCCCTGCCCCACTCAGCTGTGACCCCCGGCGCGGCGCCCCCATCCCGCGCCCGGCCCGCCCCGCGGCTACGTGGCACGGCCCTGGCGCGGAGGAACCCGAAGCGCTCGCAGTCCTAGCCACTTCGCTACGGGCACCTTTGGGCAGCGGGGTCCACACCTTCGCCGGGAGGCGGGGTACCACTGCGCAGCCTTTGCTATTCACGGGTGGGAAAAGTAACCGTAGCATCTTACGGCCTTGCTCCCTCCCGTCCCCACTTTCCGCATCTGGAACGGGGAGTGGCTGATTCGGAGTCCAGTGAGGAACACTGTGGAGATGGATGTGCAGGGCAGAGGGAGTTATTTCAGATGCACGGAGACCTCACGCGGATCATCCTTGAGAGAGGGCACAAAGGCCCGGAGAGGGCAGGCATTCGCACGAGGTCACACTGCACTAGAAAGACAGAGCCTGGAAGAGAACCCCACCGCCACCGCCCGCCATCCGGAGTCCTCTCCAGGCCAAGTCCTTAGATGGTAGCTGAGGGGGAGAGATAAGAGTCATCCAGGCTAATTGACCGCTCCTTACCAAGCGGGAATCTAAGCTCAGGGAGGATTTCGGAGAGGAATGGTGTCTGGGTTGAGTCTTTGAACACAAGTGGATTTTACCCAGACTAACAAGCAAACAGCAAGAAGGGTGGGGAGTGGTGGGGCCAGGAGTTTCAGCTGTTGTACTTGAAAGAGTCTAAAGCTGGAGGCTAAGAGTGGCGGAAGATGAGGCTGAAAAGGTTAGCAAGGGACCAGGCGGGACCTTGAACACTACATTGAGAGGCCTGGATGTCACATTGTCACAGTGCAATGAAGAACTCTCAGAGTGGGCCTCCTCAGGATGGACCTGGGGACTCGGGTGAGATGGCTCGGGAGTTGAACTCTAATGAACAGGTGGGCCAGCGTCTAGTTTTGGATGAACCGCACAAAAATGGATGTCAGCATTCTCCTGGGAGCAACACCATCTTTAGTGAAGGCAGTACTCTATAAACCTTGAAATTTTCGATTATGCTGGGAGTGCTGGGGGCAGTAATTCCTGTCCTGACTGTCCCCTACAGTGTCATGAGTTTCAAATAAGCTGACAGTGTAGGTACACTTAGTAAACTGTAGAGTGCTTTGCATCTGTGTTTGGTGGATCCCAGCAGGAACCTTATTCAGAACTCAGGGAAAAGAACCAAGAACAGGGCAAGTTTCAATGCAGGCCTCCCATTCTCTCTAGGGAAGCTCACCAGAGAGCCCCAGGTAGTGTTTGACCAGCTCTGCTAGTTAAGCAGAGCTCCTACTGTATACTAACTAAATACTAGGCCTGGCCGTGGGGATACATTGGTGAATAAAACAGATACATTTGCGCTTTAATGGAGCTTACATGGGGTGAGGAGAAGAAAGAAACAATAAACAAGGAACTGAGAAATGCACAAGGTAATTCCCAGTAGTAATAAGGACTAAGGCAAAAATAGAACAAGGTCACACAGCTAGTAAGAGAATTAGAGTATGAACCCAGACAGTCCAGCTCCAGCATCTATGCCCTTAGTTGCCAAGTTCAGCGGTAAACCAGGGAACCATAAGTCCAGAGAAGCTGTAACTGGTGCAGAGTTAACCCAAGCTATACCTGCTGCTAGGGCAATATGCTCCTTCCTTCACCGGCAGACATTTCCTGGCTCCTACTATATGTCTGACACTGGGCCCAGCTTTAGTGACATAGCCATGGGCAAGATTGACATGGTTGATGCCTTCAGGCTAATTGGGACCATAGTCATTTAGACCAGTATGGATGAATGAGTGACCATTTGGGAATGTGTGGGGTTATGTATGTACTGGTAGGCCTGAGTGTAGAGTGTGTGTGTGTGTGTGTGTGTGTTTGGGAATAGTTTGTTTCTTCTGTATAAAAATTTCAGTCTGTCTGTGCTTGTATATGTATATATGAAAATTAACTATGTGTACTTGGGTGTGTCTGTCTGTGTTTTGGTTTCTAAGGACCAAGATTTTTGGTTTCAGGGATGGAACTAGAAGCCAGATTTTCCCCCGTCTAAAAGTATGGGCAGACATGCAAGGTGTGAGTTAAAAATAAGCAAGCTTTGGCTAGGTGTGGTGGCTCACACCTGTAATCTCAGCATTTTGGGAGGCCGAGGCAGGCAGATCACAAGGTCAGGAGTTTGAGATCAGCCTGGCCAACACGGTGAAAACCTGTCTCTACTAAAAATATACAAAAATTAGCCAGGCATGGTGGCATGTGTGCCTGCAATCCCAGCTACTCAGGAAGCCGAGGCAGGAGAGGCAGAGGTTGCAGTGAGCCGAGATCGCACCACTGTACTCCAGCCTGGGCAACAGAGCAAGACTCCATCTCAAAAAAAAAAAAAAGCAAGCTTTAATTTTCTCCTTGCCCAGGGATCCAGTAGGGGGGAAAAAGGGAAAAAAGGAAGAAAAAACAGAAGGAAGAGACTTATGAGTCCTAGTTTCTCACCATTCTAGGCAGAATATGGTGTATGCTGACCTCAGATTGAGGAGGTTGTTCTAATAGCCAGTGGCCCCAGGCCCATGCCTGGTCCTTTCTCACCTGGTGGAGGTAGGGTCATCTAGCCCAGTGGTTCTCAACTAGGGGTGATTTTTCCCTTAGGACACAGTTGGCAATGCCTGGAGACATTTTTGATTGTCAAGACTAGGCATCTAGTGGGTAGAGGCCAGGGGTGCTGCCAAACATCTGACAACGAATAAATAGGATATCCCCTGAACAACAAAGAATTACCTGACCCAAATGTCAATAGTGGTTTGGCTGAGAACGGAAGATAGGACTAGGCTGCCCGGGCACAGGGGAGGGTTTAAAATCCTTTAATAATATATAGCAAGAAGCTGAAAACATAGCATTGGAGCCAAAATTCTAATTGCAGTATTATAATCAAGTTCTGTTAGCCAGCTTTATATTTATTGCCTAAAGGCTTTAATAAATTTAGGAATTGTCTAGTGATCAAAGAAAGTGGTAGGCCAGACGTGGTGGTTCATAACTGTAATCCTAGTACTTTGGGAGGCTGACTTAGTAGGATTGCCTGAGGGTAAGAGTTTGAGTCCAGCCTGGGCAACATGGAGAGACCTGTCTCTACCAAAAGTAAAAATTTAAAAATTAGCCAGGTGTGATGGCGCGAGCCTATAGTCCTAGCTATTTGGGAGGATGAGGCAGAAGGATCACTTTAGCTCAGGAGCTTGAGACTGCAAACTGTTGGGGGCATATCCTTTTATGCTCATGCCATTGCTCCAGCTAGAGACCTTCTCTCAAAAAAACAACCAAAAAAGTGGTATTGATTTACTGGAGAGGAGGGGGACAAAAAGGGATTGCCCTGGGGTTTCTTTTCTCAAGAAAACCTGTCTATGTTCCCATGCAGGTGTTTGTGTTTATGTGCACACTTATTTAGCTGACACTGAAAACTTTTTCATACGCCAGGCCCAAAGATGAAGTGGACATAACTCCTTCCCTCCACAGGTTCACATTCTAGAAGGGAGACTGACACATATATAGGCAACCACAATGCTGAGTGGTGAATGCTAGCTGACTGAGCCAAAAATTGAGCCCAGGTCTGCCTTTGTAACCCCTCTTATCAGCTCTCAGTGTGTATTCACCAGTATATGTGCCTCTGTCTGCGGATGTGCTGTGTCGGGGGGTGTATGTGTGGTGTTTGCTCATATGTGTTTGTATCATGGCGCATGTGCGTACCTATTTATGTGTATTATTATCGGTGAACATACATTCACAGATGTTCCTGTATGTGTGCACACATTTGTAAGCCCCTGAATGTTTGATTTCGTATGTGCCTGTCTGTGTGCATGTGTCTGTGTATGTGTGAGAGCACTGGACACACATTTACATATGTGTACACTATGTTCTTGTATGTGTGAGGCAGTATTAACTGTTGAGGGAGTCACGTATGTGGACGTGTCAGGGCATGTACAGGTTCATGCCTCTTCACTGGGTTGTCTGGGCTCTGTTTTGTTTTGTTTCTGTCATACAGGTGTCCCTGGTGGTGAATGTGGCCAGCGAGTGCGGCTTCACAGATCAGCACTACCGAGCCCTGCAGCAGCTGCAGCGGGACCTGGGTCCCCACCACTTCAACGTGCTCGCCTTCCCCTGCAACCAGTTTGGCCAACAGGAGCCTGACAGCAACAAGGAGATTGAGAGCTTTGCCCGCCGCACCTACAGTGTCTCATTCCCCATGTTTAGCAAGATTGCAGTAACTGGTACTGGTGCCCATCCTGCCTTCAAGTACCTGGCCCGTGAGTCCTGGTCTCTTCATCCCCTCACACCTCCCTCAGCTGGCTGAGGCCATGGCTCCTTGGGCAGCAGAAGCCACTGGCTGGCTGGGTGACCTGGGGCCCCAGGTGGACTGATGCTTTGCTCCACTGATGCTTTGAGGAGAGTGAAGGCAGGTACAAGCTAAGGGGTATTCCTGCCTAAGAATATCTCCATACCTGCTGCCTCTCACTTCTCCCTCAAAAGGGATCCTGTTTTGGACTTTTCTAGGATCCTGTTTTCACATTCAGGGGCTCCTAGAAGGAGACATTTGAGTCACTGTGAATTAGATGAGTTTATGGACTTATGATGAAGAAACCAAGGCATAGACAGAGGATGCCACCTGCCTGGAGAAAGCTGACCAAGATGGCTGACAGGCATCTCCACCCTTGGTCAGTGGTGGAGTCTTAGGCCATGGAGGGAGACCTTCTGAGCTAAAATACCAGATCTTAACATTTGAGAAATAGATCCCTTCTCCAGCTGCAGAAGCCTCAGAGCCATAGAATGGGGTCATGGGCTAAGCTTGTCGTTATGACCCTGTTTCTTCCCGCAGGCCTTCTCCTCCTTTGGAGGCCCTATTTTTGCCTTTTCTCACTCCGTCCTTCCAGCGGCCTTTGTATCCCTTGCCAGCACCCCACCCTGCAACCCATTCACCTGGAGGAGTAAATGAGAAGCAACAGTTCAGCAAACAAAAGGTCCCTTACAGAGGCAGGTTTGCATTTTGCTCTGTGGGTCAGTCCTAATGTTTGTTTTCTTCTCTGTGTTCTTTTATTAGTTCTTTCCCAGTTAGCACAGTTATAGATCAAACCTGGCCTTGCTTTTAGAACCACCTGGGGAGCTCTTAAAAATGCACAAGCCTGAGACCTACTGAAGTAGGGCCCAAGAATCTTATTTTAAGCACTCCTCTGCCCCGCAGTGATTCTGATGCAATCGGTCCACAGACTAACATTTGGAAACCATTAAAACTGAATTAGAGAATAGGGTGTAGGCTATTCAGTAGTTCGAGGTCATCAATAAAGGAGGATTTGATATCACTTTATCAGACACATCACAGAATCCTAAAGCAGTCATTCTCAAGCTTGGCCCATACTGGAACCTCCCAGAGAACTTTTGAAAAATGCTGATGCCTGAGCCTCATCCGCAGACATTCTGGTTGGAGTGGTCTGCAGTGTGGACTGGGCATCAGGATTAGCTGCCACCAGGGAAAGATGGACACCGAGAGTGAAGTTCCAGGAGAGGGTACGCAGGCTAGCACACTTGGCTTTCCTTCTTCCTTTTTCTCTAGAGACTTCTGGGAAGGAGCCCACCTGGAACTTCTGGAAATACCTTGTAGCCCCAGATGGAAAGGTGGTAGGGGCTTGGGACCCAACCGTGTCAGTGGAGGAGATCAGACCCCAGATCACAGCACTTGTGAGGAAGCTCATCCTACGGAAGCGAGAAGACTTATAACCACTGCGTCTCTTCCTCCACCACCTCATCCCGCCCACCTGTGCGGGGCTGACCAATGCAAACTCAAATGGTGCTTCAAAGGGAGAGACCCAGTGACTCTCCTTCTTCACTCTTATGCCACTGGTCCCATCATTCCTGTGGGGGGAAAATTCTAGTATTTTGATTATTTGAATCTTACAGCAGCAAATAGGAACTCCTGGCCAATGAGAACTCTTGACCAGTGAATCACCAGCCAGTAAGAACCTCTTGCCAATGAAAATGTGTGGCAAATAGAAGTATATCAAGCAATAATCTCCCACCCAAGGCCTCTGTAAACTGGGACCGATTCTTACCTCACAGGGCTGTTGTGAGGATTAGGGTAAAATATCTGTGAAAGTGCCTAGGCAGTGCCAGCCAAATAGGAGGCATTCAATAAACAATTTTTGCATATAAACCAAAAAATAACTTGTTATCAATAAACACTTGAATCCAACATGAATTTCCAGCCAATCAGAATCCAGGCCAAGGTTTAGTTGTTGTTTCCTCTGTATTATTTTCTTCATTACAAAAGAAATGCAAGTTCATTGTAAAAATCCAAACAATAACTCATGATATAAAATAAAAATGAAAGTACCCTCCTCATTTCCCATAGTTTTGCTCCCTAGAGGTAAACAGTGTTAGCAGTTTGGCACAAAGGCTGCCAGGCCTTTGGTTTTTTTCAATCAAGCCAATCATTATTGTCCAATAAGAATTCACTGAGTGGCCAGGCACAGTGGCTTACTCTTGTAATCCTAGTACTTTGGGAGGCCAAGGTGGGCAGATCACCCGAGGTCAAGAGTTAGAGACCAGCCTGGTCAACGTGGTGAAACCTCATCTCTACAAAAACATATAAATTAGCCAGGCATAATGGTGGTTGCCTGTAATTCCAGCTACTTGGGAGGCTGAGGCAGGAGAATAGCTTGAACTCAGGAGGTGGATGTTGCAGTGAGTTGAGATCATGCCACTGCACTCAAGCCTGGGCAGCAGAGAGAGACTCTGTCTCAAAAAAAAAAAAAAAAATCCACTGAGTAATCCACTAGCCAAAAGTACACCTCAATAACAAATAGGCAAAGAAGATGAATAAATAATTCACAGAAGAATATAGGTGGATAATAAGAATATGAAAAGATCTCTAGCCTCATTCAAGTTCAAAAGATTTTTTTAAATGATAATACCCCTGGTTGCCAGAGATGTGAGGAAATGGGCATTCACAGAAACTGTGGGACAATAAACTGGCGCAAGTGTTTGGAGGATGATTTGCCAGTACGTTTTAAAACAAAATGTTCATACCTTTTGTTTTGTTTTTTGTTTTAAGATAGAGTCACACCCTGTTGCCCAGGCTAAAGAGAGTGCCTTGATCATAGCTTACTGCAACCTCAGCCTCCTGAGTAGCTAGGACTACAGGTACAAGCCACCATGCAGCATAGTGGGACCCCACCTCTCCAAAAAAAAAAGAGAAATAGCTGGGCATGGGGGTACGTGCCTGTAGTCCCAGCTGTCAGGAGGCTGAGGTGAGAGAATTGCTAGAGCCGGGAGGTCAAGGCTGCAGCGAACTGTAATCATGCCACTACACTCAGCCTGGATGACAGAGGAGAACTTGTCTCAAAAAAAAAGTCTGTTAGTAAATTATGGTACAAAGCAAAATTATAAACTAATATTAAAATGAATGCATTGGGCCAGGCACGGTGGCTTACACCTGTAATCCCAGCACTTTGAGAGGCCAAGGTGGGTGGATCATGAGGTCAGTAGTTTGAGACTAGCCTGGCCAACATGGTGAAACCCTGTCTCTACTAAAGATACAAAAAATGAGCTGGGTGTGGTGGCATGCCCGTAATCCCAGCTACTCGGGAGGCTGAGGCAGGAGAATTGCTTGAACCCGGGAGGCAGAGGTTGCAATGAGCCAAGATCGCACCATTGCATTCCAGTCTGGGTGACAGGGAAAGACTCCATCTCAAAAAAAAAATAATGAATTAAGTCTATATGCTACCATAGAAAGTTGTGCAAAAGTGAAAAAAGGATAAGTTGCAAAACAGAATGAACATATGCACATACCCAGAAAAGCCAATATGAACAGGTATAATGTTTTTATTAAAAATTTACAATGGGGCCGGGCGCGGTGGCTCAAGCCTGTAATCCCAGCACTGTGGGAGGCCGAGGCGGGTGGATCACGAGGTCAAGAGATCGAGACCATCCTGGTCAACATGGTGAAACCCCATCTCTACTAAAAATACAAAAAATTAGCTGGGCATGGTGGCGCGTGCCTGTAATCCCAGCGACTCGGGAGGCTGAGGCAGGAGAATTGCCTGAACCCGGGAGGCGGAGGTTGCGGTGAGCCGAGATCGCGCCATTGCACTCCAGCCTGGGTAACAGCAGCGAAACTCCGTCTCAAAAAAAAAAAAAAAAATTTACAATGTTGCTGGGTGCGGTGGTTTCTGCCTGTAATCCCAGCACTTTGGGAGGCAGAGGCAGGAGGATTGCTTGAGTCCAGGAGTTCAAGACCAGTCTGGGCAACATGGAAAGACCCTGTCTCTGCAAAAAAAAAATTTAAATTATCCAGGCATGATCACTCACACCTGTAGTGCCAGCTACTCAGGAGGCTGAGGCAGGAGGATTGTCTGAGCCCAGGAGGTTGAGGCTGCAGTGAGCTATGTTTGCCCCACTACACTCCAGCCTGGGCAATGGGAGTGAGATCCTGTCCCAAGTTTTTAAAACATTTACAATGTTAAGTAGGAGGCAGAGAGGGAAAAATATAGACCAAACTCTTAGTGGTAGTTGTCTATGAAGGGCTGAGGTGGGGTAACAGGAGTCATTTTCATTAAGTTTCTGTAATGTTTTAATTTTATATGTCAGATCCTATTTCACCTTATATAAATATGAAAAGAGGCTGCTAAAAATTGGGGTGCAGCCTGGGAAACATAGTGAGACTTCATCTGTACAAAAAATCCCAAAATTAGCCAGATGTGGTGGTGCACAACTGTAGTCCCAGCTACTCAGGAGGCTGAGTCAGGCGAGTCACTTGAGCCTGGGAGTTTGAGGCTACAGTGAGCTATGATCATGCCACTGCAGTCTAACCTAAGCAACAGAGCAAGATACTGTCTTTTAAAAAATGGGGTGATGGGCAGAGTCACTGGTAGATAATTCATTAGCCAATGAAAATTTCAGGTCTACTTTATCCAAGGTCACTCCTTTAGAAGTCTGGAGACTCAGCTTCAAGTCCTGGTTGTGCCTCTGACTCACAGCAAATTCTTCCCTCTCTGCTGTCCTCCGTTTTCTTACTGGACAATGAAAGGGTTGAACTGTGCTTAGAATTTTCACAGTCTCCCTTCACGGTGCTTCTCAAAAGCTAACCAGAGTAAAGTGAAGGCTGTTCATGGGGTGACCACAGCCCCTCCCATGGTGGCCTCTCAGCTGCCCTTATACACCCTCCTCTAAGCGGCAGCTCTGCATGTGCTCATGTGCATGCACACAAACACAGTGAAGCCCAGCTCTAGACATGTTCACATTGGACATCTGGGAACCACTGTCTCCTGCAGCTACCTCCCTCCCTCCGTACCCACTGTCTCCACCACCTGTAGGTCTGCCTCTCCTCACTGTGCTCACCAAGGCCATCACTTAGCGCTTTGTCTCTAAAACCAATGAACATCTCTCACCTTGTCCTCCTTGAGCTCTCAGCTGAACGGGACACTGCAGACTCTGCTCTTCTCCCTGGCACATGCTAGTCCCTTGGTGTTCTTGCCTCTGCTCTTAGTTTCCCCCATCTCTCTAAGTGTTCCTTCCTTCTCAGTATCAATGTCTCTCCCTTCTCTACCCACCCCTTCCCTGCTGGTCTTCCGTGGAGTTCTAGTCTGATCTAATTTCTCACCCCATATACCCTTCCTTAGCCAGCTCACTTTTTCCCATGGTTTTGACCACCATCTACACCCTAATGACACCCAAATGTCTATATCCATGCAGGACTCCCACCCACCTGCCTCCTGTGGATCTCTACAGATACCTCAATTCAACATGTCCAGGACTAAATTCACCCTCATCTTTCCCTGACACATCTGCTCTTCCACCCCACCTTGGCAGCCCCTGGAGCCTTCTCTTTCACACCCCACGTAATTATCACACTCTATTCCCATCATTTAAGCAACTGCCCTCCCTTCCCTCTCCTGAGCACAGTGCTAGGCCCTTAATAGATGAAATTAAATTACGTCATACACATTTGGAACACCAACTCCATGCCTGCTCCTGCCTAGCCCCTATTTGGAAACCAAAGATGAGCAAACCCATTTCCCCAGAAATTTAGAGTCCAGCTGAGAACTTTATATGCTCCCAATGAGCCCTGCAGTCCTATGGACTTTATCAGCTTTCTGCTGTTCTCAAGCCCCCTCTAACACATGCAAGAGTCCTCTAGTTTGAAAAAGTTACTTTAAATCCTTATCAACAGTCACCTTAGTCATTGGTTAACCAGTATCTGCTAAGATCTTGCTTTTAAATTAATCCCTTGGTTATCAAATAACACTTGAGTAGTTATTATTTATCTACCAACACCTTAATTATCTTCTAACACCTTATTTACAAGCCAAATACTTTATTTTATTTGAGTATATAGTAGGACTTAGTAGTTTAACAGTATTTGTTATGCCTTAGTTATTAATCAAATTTCCCTCCCTCCCTCCCTCCCTTCCTTTTTACTTTTTTTTTTTTTTTTTTTTTTTGGTTTTTGCTTTGAAACAAGGTTTTACTGTCTCACACAGGCTGGAGAGCAGTGGTGCAATCACAGTTCACTGCAGCCTTGACCTCCTAGCTTAGGCAATCCTCCCACCTCAGCCTTCCGAGTAGCTGGGACCACATGTGTGCACTACCATGTCTGGTTAATTTTTGTATTTTTTGTAGAGATGGGTTTTCAACATGTTGCCCAGGCTGGTCTTGAACTCCTGGGCTCAAGCGATCTGCCCACCTTGGCCTCCTAAAGTGCTAGCATTACAGGTATGAGCCGCCATGCCCTGCCTTAATCAATATTTTAGTTACCTGATCCCTTAGATTTCTTCTGAGTTTAGAGTACATTAGCAAGTCAGAAACCACCAGTTAGGACTTTGGGGAGGCTGTCATTTCTGGATATGGAATATTACAAGCCTTTGTCTTTTGCTGAACTCTCCTCTTATCCCAAAATGATTCTCTTTCAACATCAACGGCCCCAGGTCCTGAGAGAAAAGGAGGTCCCATTCTAATTACTTATTTCCTTCTCTGAGCCAGGCTGGGGGAGACTTCCTAGAATGTTGTGACTGGAAGGGACTTTCATTCATCAACAAATATTTCTAAAGCACTGCATAGCTCTCAAGTTCTCCCTAAGTTCTAACAATACATCAGCAAACAAAATGGGCATGTTTCTAGCTGTTACGGCACTTAGAGAATAGTGGAAAAGATAAACATTAAATAACTATTCTGATTATTATGTGATTACAATTATGATAAGCACCGGGATTATAAGTATAAGGAGCTGTGAGCATGTATAAAAGTGGCACTTGACCTATTGTGGGATTCAGAGACTTCCCTAAGGAATGACATTAAAGCTGAAAGCTGAAATTTTAATAAGAGTTAGGGAAAAAAGGTA